CTGCCCAAGTAACCTCCGTTGCAGTTGGACGGGTCACCACATAGTTATCCCACCAGGCAGAAGCGGGACCTTTCAGCTGGTGCGTAGCAAAAGCAACTTTCTCTTGGTCGTTGCATTGCAGTAGGTTCAGCTTCTTTTCAATAGCATGGAGCCAGTCGTTGGCCTCCATTGGGTTGGTGGTGCTTGAGAAAGTAGGTGGCTTGATACAGAGGAAGTCTAACAGATTGGACAGGTGTGATGGTGGAGGACCAGACTGCTGGTTCTGCTGCGCCTGCTACAACATCTGATGGTAATGTTGCTGCATCTGTTGCATCATCATTGTCGTTATCTGAGTGACCGTTGGGTTCTCGGGCGGTGGAGATGGAATGCTGCTAGATACACCACTGGCATGTGCTCCATCGATCTGCTCTTCGCTGCCACTGGCGTCGCTGGAGTTACAGGGATCATTCCTTTTCTTCACCATCAGGAGGGGGATAGGTAGAAATAAGAGAAAGGAAGAAAACAGATGGCTCGGAAACTAATCTTTCTTATAAATTTAAGTGCATTTATCTGACTTGAATTAAAACACTGAAAAGGTAGCAAACAACTCCTAATTAAGGCAGTCATACCACTGACACATGATATTGACCATCGACTAACCCACAAGCACAAACCTAAACACAGAAACTAGCAAGCAAACAAAACTAAGAAAATGATAAGGCTAAAGGTGGCGACTCTGAAGCTTGGAGCGGCGCTTGCGATCGCAGAATAGGTCTGACATCTAAAGTAGACAAGGGATAGGAACCAATACATGCTCAAATCCAAATTAAACAAAGCAACAAATGACTCAAGTAACTCGCCGAGCATGATGATTTTTGTGCATGGAACATTTTTCATGAACCCAGACAAAAGATACTAATGTAACTGACTAAACGATAAATTAATGCACAAAAATACATGAATAGCTATAATGATACGCATAAAATGTCCCCATCGAACCTAGACACGGCTTAGTGCATATCACCCAACAATTCCCGACCGACTATCGAATAAATTCCGAATAAACTTTTACTAAAACCCTAGACTGTCCCTAGTCGAGAAATCCAATTAAATAAGTGACCAAGATTTTCCCACAAATGAAAAGAACAAACCCCAAAATTTTCCCGAAACAAATTCAAGTGCAAAGAGCATATGCAGATGAAAAGGTTTCAGAGGGCTCTTTGGGTTTTCCAGTTGGCTTGTCCTACGGACAAGGTCGGCTCTAATACCAACTTGTCACGCCCAGAAATACACGAACCAGAATTTCTAAGCTGAATGTGCATTAAACCCCTGTCCAGGACCAGCCAGGGTACACACACGACAATTGTTGACATACAGATTCACGTCTTACAAAACAATATAAAAGATTACAAATGCAGCGGGAAAGATAAAAGCGAACTAAGCCTGAAGACTTGACTCCTGCAGCGGGTGATTCCATTCCACAGGCATCCTTGACGGCAGTGACGAATCCAACTTCTTCGAGACATCTCCAACTGAGAAGGACATCAACTCTGGAGTGGGGGAAAAGAGAGCAAGACTGAGTACTACTCACTGTACTCAGCAAGTCATACCGGAAAAGGAGGTATGATGTAGGATATATCCAAGGGAGGCAAAAAGGTTCTTTTGCATAAAGCTAGCATTTAAAAAGCAGTAGTTGAAAGCAGTAAAACGGTTGCAGTAATTAATCAATATTAACAAATCAATGTCCAACGCTACACCACGTTGCAACAGGCCCAAGCAACCACCTGAACTACACCAGTTCAAAAGCTAACTAGGGATGAGACTAATCACGGTGAATCTGGTCGACCGCCCATAACTGCGGGCACGGCTATTCGAATAGTTTTACTCTGATCAGAGGTGTACAATTGTACCCACAAGACACAGCCCCACGACACGTTTCCGTGCGCCGACATGCCACCACGGCATACCGAAAAGAGGCCATGACAGGACCCTTCGCATAACCCCCTCTAATCGATCGCACCACACCTCAGGATTCGCCCCCGTCCCCAGCAGGCAATGGGCAGCCCCCCTCTCATGCCGCGGTGAATCCGGAAGCCAATCAACCAGACACCCCGGCCGACCCAACTCCATCACGCCCACCCTCGCCTGGGTACATCGGCTAGAGGAAAGCTACACTACAAGCCCAGCCGTTGCCCACGCTGGCTTGTGGTAAGTACGATAAGTTCTTCCAGGGAATCTCGCGAACCGGTCCTTAATCGCCATGGGCAGGGGTAGCAAAACCATGCACCCACGGCCCACCATGTAGTGTATTTTAATTAACTAACACCATTGCGGTGGCTCTATTCCAAAGCTATGCCATTAATCAAAGTCTATGCATTAATGTGTTTCCCCCTTTGTGTACTAGTTGAACTAAGCATGGCTAAGCATTTCCTAAACCAACATCTAGTCATTTTAAAACTCAAGTTATCAATGGCATAAGGTAAACAATATATGGCTGAGTAGTAGGACCCATCCCACATGATATTGTAAAATAATGCAACATTTGATAGAAATGCGGGACATTTGTAAATTAGGTACAACATGATCAATTATAATGCATGACTTGCCTTGCTCTCGCATTGATGAGACCACAGCAACGTCTTCACGGAACCGCGGATCGACGAAACGGCCGAAATCTACGCGACAAACAAAGCACACAAGAAAAACATGCTATAAGTCTACTGAAACAGGAAACAAAACCATTTTTACTATATTCTATTCATTTTTATGAATTTACTGAATGGACTTAATCGGAGCTCGGATGAATTAGATATGAATTTTAGAAGATTATCTGTGTTTTTACTATAAAAGAAAAACCCTTAATCAATTTATTGTGCAATAACTCATCCCAGGGCTGACGTCATCAAGGAGGGGGCGGCGCCGACATGCGGGACCCATGGGTCAGAGGCACAAGGGAGAGGGAGGGGGTACTGGCAGGCGGGGCCCACCGGGCGGCGGTTCATGGGGGAGGAGGTGGCACCGGCCAGGCTCGGCTCGGCTTCAAGTCGGCCGCCCGATGATGGCGATGCGGTGGTGGCGGGTGGTTGCCGGCGACGGCAACCGGCGCGAGAAGCGGCGGTGGGTGGTGCGAAAAGCAGCGGTGGCGGCCGAAGGCGACGCCACGCATGCGGAGGACAGCGGCGCACACAGGAGAGAGGGAAAGAGGGAGGAGAAGGAGTTTTCACCGGCGGGCACGGCGGCCGGCGCGAAGGATGAAGGCGGCGGCGACGACCCGACGAGCGGAGGGGCAGACGGGCGGCGGTTGCACCTACGGAGGAAAATAGAGAGGAGTTAGTGGTTGGGAGGAAGCCCACGGCGGCTAGCGTGGCCGGCCAGAGATAGGAAGGGCAGCGAAACTCATTGGCGCACGGAGAGAGAGGCGTTCCGGCGGCGGGATTGGATGGGGATGCGGCGGCCGGGGTAGCTTTGGCGGCGGCGAAGCTAACCGCGGCGGCAGCTTGATTCTGCGGCGGCTCTAGCGGCGACGAGCGGTGGCCGGAGAAGTGGAGATGGCGGCGATGGATGGGTGCACGGTGCGGGAGCGGTGGAGAGCTCGGGAGCGGCCTGCGAGTGAGGGAAACGAGAGATGGCGTTGCGGGGAAGCTTTATAGGGCCTCGGGAGAGGCGGTTGTGGCCAGGAATGGGCTCTATTTGGCCGGCGACGACATGGGGAAGGTGGGGAGAGAAAGAGGGAGAGAGACGGAATTCAAATTGAATCCTGCCTCTATGCGGGCACGCGCGCGCGGGCTGGAAGGCGGTGAAGGGGGCGGGCGACGTGGGCGGCGACTTGGGGGGGCGTGTGGGCACGGATGCGGAGGAAGTGGCAGCGTGGGCGGCGGTTGCTGCCGGCTGGAGGAGGAAGACGGGGTCGACAGGTGGGCCCCACCTGTCGGTGACCCGGAGAGAGGAGGGAGGGAGACGTGGGCCGGCCCAGCAAGGAGGAGGGTGGCGCGGGAGGAGTGGGCCGATGGCGCAAAGGAGGAAAAGAGGAAAAAGAAAAGAGGGGAAAAGAAAAAAAGATTTTCCTGGGATTTAAGTATTGCATTTTTCTTATTTTAATTGTGTAAAATTATTTCCAAGGCTCTGAAAATTCCACTAAAAATTCTGTTAGCATATTTTGACATGTAGAATCCAAGAAAATTCCACATGTCGATTCCGATTATTATTTGCATTTATTAATTTAGGGATTCACCTCTAGGTTAAATTAAATCATTTCTGCGGACGATTTATTTTATGAATTTTAAAGCAAAGAGGGGAACTTTAGGGCGTGACAGTAGACAAACCTGTCGGGTGGGCTCCTTAAGGTGTGCTGTGCTGGCATGCCTACGTGTCTTTCCACGTAGTCAAAAGTGGCAAATAGTTAAGAAACTCCCCTCTCTTCGATGACAATTTTGTTGGGATGAATACATAAAGTGGTATTTGGAAAGTGGTATTTTGTAAGAGTGGCAAATTGTTTAATTCGTAGGAGAATGAATGAATTGAGAAATGGATCAGTTATGGTGTGGTAAAAGGGAATAAACAGGTGAGACATGATTGATGTTAGTGAAAACTTACCGTATCCTCAGGGTTAAAGGATGCGGGGTGGGAGAGGCGCAGTGGACCTAACAATAATAGCGTGTATGTAGCTCATAGTTCTAATTATTTAAACTTATTCTCGATTATAATACACAATGGAATTATGCATGTGTAGTTTATTTTGTTTGTTTGAATGTATTATATTTTTCTCTAGTACCAATTATGTATAAGAGGGATATTATTTCCGATAGTTGATCCAAAGTTTATCAATTCTTCATCTTCTATAGAAAAATAAAAAGATGGCTTGACTAAGCTGGATCAATGAGAGCAACGTATTTTGCTTAGTTTCACCCAGACAACATATCAACTGTCCTCTTGTAATATGTATGTCGGCTTGGATCGGAGGCAACCAGCCTAAAGATGGGACACAGTTGTTACAACTAACAACATTGTAGTCTAGAATATGGTATAGTAATACAGTAACATGAAGCTCTTAAATATTTCTCGATATTTAGAACATGGAACAAATAATGTTGTTATAGTATACCAACCTTACATGAGTATAGAGAAAGTATGTGGACTTCCAACATGGAAGGACATATACATATAAGAGGCACATTATTTATTCTGTAAGTAACACAACATGGAGTTCTTGCTCCTTGCATCTCAAGTATTACTTGCTCATTGCCTTCATTCCTTTCATGTCAAGTTAATGACAAATGAAGTTGCCTATGTTAGCAAAGCCACAAACACGAAGTATCGTTTGGATGGAGAAACCATTAGGGATAACACCACCACTGAACTTGAAGGAATCACATAGGCAACTGGCGGCATCAGTGCTAGATAGACTGGTGATCGGTGGACAACAATCCTGCTTAACCAAACTCGGGGAGATGAGCAGAGTTGACGGATCAAGTTTTGCGCACACGTTGAGCGCTAATACCTTTTCTTTTGGGCACTGACCACCTCTGGATGGAGGTGGCGGCTGTGATATCGGTGGTTGTGATGGAGTTGCTGGAGGTGGAGGTGGCATGGTTTGTGTTGGTGGCGGCGGAACACTGTGCGGTGGTGGCACCCGCGGCGGTGTACGTGATGGTGTTGGAGCTGGAGCGGGCATTGGAGTTGGTTCCTCGCTAACAGGAGTTGGCGGTGGAACCCTTTGTGGTGGTGGTGCATGTGGAGGTGCACGTGATGGTGTCGGAGTAAGGTTAATAGGTGTTGGTGCTGGAGCGGGTGCCGGTGTTGGTTGTTCATTAACCGGAGGTGGTGATGGAATCCTTTGTGGTGGTGGTGCGCGTGGAGGTGCACGTGATGGTGTCGGAGTAACAGTAACAGGGGTTGGTGCTGGAGCGGGTGCCGGTGTTGGTTCTTCACTAACCGGAGATGGCGGTGGAACCCTTTGTGGTGGTGGTGCACGGGGAGGTGCACGTGATGGTGTCGGAGTAAGGTTAACAGGTGGTGGTGCTGGAGCTGGTGCCGGTGTTGGTTCTTCATTAGCCGGAGTTGGCGGTGGAACCCTTTGTGGTGGAGGTGCGCGTGGAGGTGCACGCGATGGTGGTGGAGCGGGTGCCGGTGTTGGTTGTTCATTAACCGGAGGTGGCGGTGGAACCCTTTGTGGTGGCGGTGCACGTGGAGGTGCACGTGATGGTGTTGGAGTCACATTGGTCGGTGTTGGTGCTGGAGCGGGTGCCGATGTTGGTTCTTCGCTAACCGGGGGTGGCGATGGAACCCTTTGTGGTGGTGGTGCACGCGGAGGTGCACGTGATGGTGTCGGAGTAACAGTAACAGTGGTTGGTGCTGGAGCGGGTGCCGGTGTTGGTTCTTCACTAACCGGAGATGGCGGTGGAACCCTTTGTGGTGGTGGTGCACGGGGAGGTGCACGTGATGGTGTCGGAGTAAGGTTAACAGGTGGTGGTGCTGGAGCTGGTGCCGGTGTTGGTTCTTCATTAGCCGGAGTTGGTGGTGGAACCCTTTGTGGTGGAGGTGCGCGTGGAGGTGCACGCGATGGTGTTGGAGCGGGTGCCGGTGTTGGTTGTTCATTAACCGGAGGTGGCGGTGGAATCCTTTGTGGTGGCGGTGCACGTGGAGGTGCACGTGATGGTGTTGGAGTCACATTGGTCGGTGTTGGTGCTGGAGCGGGTGCCGATGTTGGCTCTTCGCTAACCGGGGGTGGCGATGGAACCCTTTGTGGTGGCGGTGCACGCGGAGGTGCACGTGATGGTGTCGGAGTAACAGTAACAGGGGTTGGTGCTGGAGCGGGTGCCGGTGTTGGTTCTTCATTAACCGGAGATGGCGGTGGAACCCTTTGTGGTGGGGGTGCACGAGGAGGTGCGCGTGATGGTGTTGGAGTAAGGTTAATAGGTGTAGGTGCAGGAGCGGGTGCCGGTGTTGGTTCTTCGTTAACCGGAGGTGGTGGTGGAACCCTTTGTGGTGGCGGTGCACGTGATGGTGTTGGTGTCACATTGGTCGGTGTTGGTGCTTGGGCGGGTGCCGATGTTGGCTCTTCGCTAACCGAAGGTGGCGGTGGAACCCTTTGCGGTGGTGATGCACGAGGAGGTGCACGTGATGGTGTTGGAGAAACATTTATAGGGGTTGGCGCTGGAGCAGGTGCCGGTGTTGGTTCTTCACTAACCGGAGATGGCGGTGGAACCCTTTGCGGTGGTGGCGCACGCGGAGGTGCGCCTGGTGGGGTTGGTTCTGGTGGTGGTGTGGCACTTACTGGTGGTGGCGGTGGTATTGTTTGTGGTGGTGGTGGTAGCGGCGGCGGGGGTGCACGTGGCGGGTTCCTTCTGGGAGGTGTTGCAGGTTGCTGGGCCTTGGCAAAAGAAGAGAGCGTGAGAATCACGACGGCGAACAGGATGGCATTGGGGACTGCCATGGCTACTCGCCGTGGTGCTCGGCTCTTTCCTGCCTTTGAACTGATGAAGTATATGAAGCTATTTATAGGCTACCGCTAGCCGCTTTGCAATGTTGGTGGTGGCTTGGTACAGCTTATGGTCACAACTGGATTGGAATTTTGCCTCACACAACTCGGAGACTTGTAGCAATTGCTAATTAATCGTAGCACGTGTACACAAAGCGTACTGACCAATTAGATAGCATCAATCATGCTTACCTTCAACTATCGAACAGTGAGCTCAAGGACATTTTGGGTCACTCTCGAATTTATTCAACATTTATGGGCAACATGGCAGGAAATGCTTAGATGCTGGAGGAGGGAATTTGTCCTATTGGTCCTATGGCTCCCTTAGCTGTGCATATGTACATATAAATCGTTCCTAGCAGGGACACAGCTCCAAAGCAAATAAAATCGACGCCTGTTCTCTCACCTATTCTCCATTGCATATGCATGGACCTGATACAAACTTTGTTCTAATTTGATTTACAAGAAACAGTTCAAATCTTGTAAGAACCTAAAATCAATAGGTGTTCCGAAAGAGGTGGAGGCATATCTTTACCCAGGTGGAACTCCATTAAGTTGTTTGCTGGGTATAAATCTGCATGCAAATCAATATAAAAGATATAATATTTTTTTGACCATTAATTACAAAGACACATCTATTGTTAGTAGTGATACTGCTAGGTTGAGAACCACTAGATAAAACATTTACTCTCCCGTTTCAGATTACTTACCGTTCTAAGTTAACAAGTGAAGTGAATTATATAGTGTGAACATGTTTCTCATGGTGATTCTAAAAGTATAAATCTAACGATGTTTAAAGATAAAGATATAAGTTTATAGAATTTGATGGTGAAAGATTAAACTTGTTTGATATCAATGACAACTAATTTAGAATGGAGGGAGTAGTGTCTTACTCCTTTCGTCCAACCATTAATATATATAAGCATTTAAATTCTGTAAAAATATAAGCATTTATACACTACTACATGTTATGTTAATCACCTCTCATTTAAATTTCTTCTGATCTTTTGTCTAATCATCCTTTCACTCCCAACCATATATGTTATTATAGGGGGGCACTAACAATATTTCTCCGCAACCTAAACTTTTGGTAAATTACTAAAAAAAAGCTTTGGAAAACAACTGAAAATGCATTATATGTTGGATGGAAGGACCTTATTGAGGGATGCAAAGAATCATTCCATAAAGAGATTTTGCGCCACTAAAATAAAATGCACACCTTATATATCATTCACTCTAGGGCTAGTTTTGGTATAGGCCATATATAGTTGCCGAGAATCTGGTCCATATCATTTCGTTGACACGCTCTAAGGGTCATTAGATACTATATCCATGGCTTAATTTTTGGTGAGTCACTTCTATCCATGTTTCTTGGCTAGTAGGGAGTCAAATCATAGACGTTTCCGTTGCACGTCACCACACAGTTAGCCACTGGCTCCTCTGACGGGTGGGGAAAATATGTATAAAAAGTCCATTTCACAATATAAGTTATTCTATAACTTTTCACATTTAGATTAATGTTAATAAATCTAGACATATATATCTATTTAGATTCATTAACATCAATATGAATGTGGAAAATGTTAGAATGACTTACATTGTGAAACGGAGAAAGTATGAAGGACTGACTCCAATTCTATAGAAAAATTTATTAGGTAGTGTTGACTTTTTTCATAACCAACACAAAATCACCCAACGATGATTTACGGTGTAACCAATGGAGTCGACAAAATCGATAGATAAAACCAGCTAGCTGAGCCAATTTTGAATTTAATTTACTTTCGCGTAATCAAACAACTATTTTATGAGCAAATTAACAAAGAAGATAAATATTGTACTTTTCTAACGAAAGAACAACTAGCGTCTGAGCAACCTCCGCGCTTTAGTGGATAAGCATGACCCTTTTTTAGTGCAAAACGGCAAAAAATTAACCAAATTTTAGAATTGCTATAAGTCAGCCATGCAAACAAAATAAAAATTAACATAAAAATAAAAGTAAAGAACAGAAAAATTATAGATTGATAAATTGTTTGGGGTCCCTTCCCAATAGGTCATCAATGGTATATATACCAGCTGGGCCTTAATATTTGGGAAATCTAGTCAGTTCCACACAAAATATATCTAACTTCAACCGAAAACGAAATAAACTGATCGTTATCTCTAACTCATCAACTCCTATGCCTAAGATAATCACATACTCCCTTCATCAAAAAAAAAAAATCTAGGAGGGTATGTGACCCCTCCTTATACACATCAAAAAAAAAATCTAGGAGGGTATGTGACCCCTCCTTATACAACGAATCTAAGACAATCCTCTCTGTCTAGATTCATTGTACTAGGAGGGGACACATCCTTTCTTAGGTTAGGAGGGGTCATATCCTATCTTAGGTTACCTTTTTTTTTTATGGAGGGAGTACACCATTTGTAATTCAGCCAAGCAACGCAGGATAAGGTAACTATACGGACTCCCACAAAACGCGACTTATTTCGAAAACGCTTCGTATCTTATGTCCGATATGGACGAAACTCTGGACGGTGGGACCCATAGCCGAAACCTTTCCCCAACTTTATCCTCATTCTTCGGTTCTTCCTCATCCCCAACCACACTAGCGAAGTTAACTCTCGCGGCGAAGGGCAGTGGGACCTGATCCAGGACGGTGCGGAGGCTGCTGAGTCGGCGGCACGCGCCGGAGGCAAAGAGGGAGAGTCAGGTGACGAGCGGGGTGCCGAGGAGGACGAGGCCAACGAGCACCATCCACAGCTACTTGCGCATGCGCCGGGTGGAACACCACCGCCCACCACACCAGCACGGCCGCGCCCACCACTCCCGTTGCCACCACGCGCGCCGCCATGGCCAGGCACGACCACGTCAACCACATCCTCTCCCCCGCTGCCGCCGCTGCTCGCTGCTGTCCTCCTCCTCCTCTCGCCTCCACGTCCACCTTGTTGACTGGCTCCCTCTCGTGGTGCGCCATTGCGAGCACACTGCTGGTGAATATACTATTTTCTGGAGGGGGGACCTAAGGAAGGAGTCGCCGGCAGCCATGTAGGTGGCGGCGGCCGACGGAGAAGCACGAAGCGAAGAGGGAGGAGGGCTCTGAGGTCGGCAATGAAGGTGAAGAGGCTTGTGGCAACGTCGAACTAGCTAACGAGGATTGTTGCACACTACATGTTTTTTTGTTACATATAGTGTGTTCGTGATGTTGGAATTCGTTTTTTATGTTTCTTAAATCAGTACTAGATGTTGCATTTGGTTTCTTTGATGTTCCACATATTGGGTTTTACTGAGTGTTACATTTAATTGAAACATCTTCAATAAAGCGGTGAAACATTCTTCTGTGAAAGATGAAACATCGAGAAACAATTAATGTTGAAACATTTTTTTTCGAGCTATGAAACATTACAGCATTTATTTAACATACAGTGTAACATCGTTTGGAGATTTCATGTTGAAACATTTTTTTTGAGCGATGGAACATTGCAACATTCATTTAACATACACTGCAATATCATCCGAAGATTTGCAAATATCTGGACGACCGATGCGTAGCACTATCCGAATAATTTTTGTACACAGTTCCATGCATGTAGCGTGTTCGTCCTCCTGCACAGCGGGTCCCACGTGAAGAAAATGTGGAGCCAAGGAAAAGATCACGCACAGTCCAACAAAAGCCATCCTGCATCCTGCATCCAGCAAATTTGGATGGCTGCATTTCATCTGCTTCCTTTGCATGCATATAATCAACTCAAGCACAGTTATATCAGCTGCATCGGTACATATCCAATATAAGCCAAATGCTTCAGTAGCTAGCACCAAAAACCAATACATCCACTACTAAAAAATATTTTTTTCCTAACGCTATGATTTATTTTTCTAGGTGGACTATAAAATCACTGTTGTTAAAATAGCTAAAGGTACCATGAAAGTAGTCCCACCTGCGAAAATCGATTTTTTTTAGTCAGACCACTTAAGAGATCTGCCTACAAAATACAAGACCTTAAGATGTCTACATGCGACAAGGTTATACTATATAAAAATCATCACCTATATCTAGCCCCATTTCCACCAAGTCCTCTAACCTCTCCTTCCCTCTCTCTCACCAAAACCGGTCTATCCTCCCACCTCTCCTTCCCTCTCCCACCTCACACTCCACCTCCGAACAGGCGGCGCACGTGGCCCCCTCCCCTCCCCTCCCTTTCCCTCCCAAATCCGACAGTAGGAGGCTAGGGCGGCGATGGCGTGGAAGCAGCGGGGAGGAGGCACTCACCTCTCCCCGCTCCTAGATCCGGCTGGAGGAGGGGAGAGCGGCAGCGGCGGCGTGGAAGCAGCGTGGAGGCAGCGCTCCCCTCCCTTACCTCCCTCCTCACTCCTACATCCAACCGGAGGAGGGCGAGCGGCGGCGGCGGCGCTTCCCTCCCCTCGCTCCCTTCCTCCCTCTCCGCTGCTAGATTCGGCCAGAGGAGGGCGAGCGGTGGTGTAGAGGCGGTGACGGTGGCAGCTCCACTCCCTCCCTCTCTATTCCTAGATCCGGCTAGACGAGGGGGAGCGATAGCAACGTTGGCAACGCTACCCTCCCCTTGCTCCCTCCCTCCCTCTCAGATCTGGCACACGGTGTTGGCTCTCCCCTCCCCTCCCACCCAGATTAGGCCGGGGGGTGGGTGGGGGGGGGGGGAGGGCGGTGGCGGTGGCTGGCGGCTCCCCACCCTCTCCCTCCCAAATTATTTTTGTGTTCGCTTAAAATATTTAAGCAAGCGGATGGATCTAGCGCCTGCGAAGATGGAGAAGCCGCCTACCAAAATCATTTTTGCAGACTGAAGGCCACCTGTGAAAATGACGTGTTTTCATAGGCCTTGAAGTACAGGCGGGGTGAATGTCTGCCTGGAAAATTTCATATTGACCTCTTGTTAAAATATGTATTCTAGTAGGGATTACTCCACATATTTAAATGGCTCCTAAACCAACCACTCAACAAATTTCCTAAATCCTAAAGTTAGA